AAAAGTGCTCATTTGAATGAAACATAATTAAGGAGTAAGGTGCAGAGAGGATGGCTATATTATAAGATAATCTCACTCCATGGGGCATTTTTGAAGAACTGGTCTGACTATAAAATCTTCTTTAAATACAATTGAGAGCCCATTACTTGCTATCAGCATAAAATGTTAACCTATTTTATACGTTTTCTCTCCTTGATGAACTTGGACAGGTTTTTTGAGGCTGCAGGTTTCTAGACAACTCCTCTCCCCAGCACTTTCCTTTTCTTCTCACTGTAAAAATAAATACCTAGTTTCAATCCTTTTACAGTCTGTTTATGACCAGGAAAGTCACTGTGAACCTTCCTTGGTTATAAGAAGTATAGCATGACTCCAAGGCCCTTTGGCTGTAACGGAATGCTTCCAGAGCCTGCCAGGCACCCCTCTTTAGAGGGAAAGTCCACCCCCCCTCAAAAAAAGCTTCCTAAGGAACATACACATCAATATAAAAATTATATACAAAGGGAGGCCATACTTTCTCCTTAGCAGTCTTAAATCCTTAGGTCTTAAGAACTGTGTACTGTGCTACTTCTGATGAATTCTTTATGATGGATATACAAAAGTGAAAGGTTTTTGGTGGTTACCAAACCGTGATCCTCTGTTCTGGAGGCTGCTTTTCAGTGTGGCTCTGAGAATAGCATGTCTTATTTTAATTATTCTCATTCTCATTGTAATTATTCTAGTAATTATTATACTTGATTCTCTGTGGAATGGGAGTTGTTGATGAAACAGGAGAACATGGGACCGAAGATGTGCTCTTGTGTGGTTGTGTGATTTCTCCATTCCACTTCACATGCTTTGTGTCTCAGTTTTCCGCTTCTGGGGTATGGCCTGCTACGGTGTGGATTCGAAGACTGCTTTGCCATGTGTGACCCTTTGGCTCCATCTCTGCTGACCTGACCTCTGCCCACCATACAGATTGGCCGTCAGTCTGTCCTGTACAGAGTAGTATCAAAAGTAATAAATGAAAACATCTGCTAAAAAGCCCCCTATGCTGTTTCAAAGGTTGAGATCAGTGCTTAATTTCTAGGAGAGGGAGGTTTTTAGAGTTCAGGCTTGCAAACACTCCCGTGTGCCCTTCACTACTTCGGATCTGCCAGGTTGCATTCTCCCTGTCCTTGGCCAATTAGATCCCCTGTGCCCCTGATCTGTGGGGCCCCACTGTGGTTCATCTGGCATTGCAGAGAGCAAACAGGGAGAGGCAGGCTGTTGGCAATATTTTCTAGCGCGAGATGTAACATGATTCGAGACAACTGTGAGCTAGGCTAAGTCATGACTGGGCCATTTGCCATTTTGCTCACCCTCACAACAAAGTGGAACTTTTCTGGTAACCTTTTGTCTGGTAATGTCTGAGCAGATGATCAGCAGGCTACTAAAAGGAAATACAGTGAGTTTCTTTTGACCTTTCAATGAAATTATATAAGAACAGTTGTGTTATAAATAGTCTTTTTGTCTTACCAAAGAAAGGAAACACGGGGCTGTTTGTTTGTTATGAAGGGATACAATGGGAACAATTGTTCACTGCTCTTATCCACCCAACACTCTTTTGAAAACTGGCATTTCTTGCTTTCCCAGCATTTCTTAAACAACTGTTTAAAAAGAAAATATGTCTATATGGTTCTCTCTGCCAACCCAGTTGCTTTTATCCTTGTTTTTCCTGAATTAGTCTGCTGAGGCTAAATCAACAAAGAGTCTTGTGACACCTAAAAATGCTAACAAATGTACTGTGTCCTAAGCTTTTGTGGGTCAGAACCCATTTTGTTATTTTAAAAGCAGCAACTCTGTTTACACAGACATTGCTTGGCAATAGAGGGAACCATGCTGGTAAATCAGACTTTCTGTGCACATACAGTCAGTCCTTCATGGCAGATGGAGGAAGACATCCACTTCAGTAAACACTGCTCTGAAGCACCGCCTTACCCACATATAGGGAAGAGCTATTCCCCATTCCCCAATTTCAGGGTACAATTCCCAGCACTTATGATGAGAACTATCTGAACAATAATGAGGAAAGACTGGAAGAATATTAAATGGCAGAGAATGAGAGGGATTAAATACAGAAAGGACAGACTCTGAAAATTATTTTATATGCACATAAAATAAACAATAAGTAGTGATTCTCAGTTGTTGATGATAACCCATATTTCTGGCATTGGTCAGCTGGGGGTGGTCCAATGTAATCAATACTGAAAATGTAATTATAAACTCCATTCTGGCCATGGGTGTCAGAACAGACTGTCCTAAGGTATAATTCAGCAGTTCTACACTAGAGCCTCCATTTGAATTTTCTTTGTTCAAAACAAGCTATGTTAGAGTCAGTAACAGAATTCTCAGGATGCATCAAATGTTGTTCTACTGGTTTCTGAATGGCCTCTCCTTTTTCATTACATCTTTTTTAAAAATTGAAGTACATGTGTATTGAATACAACATAAAAATCAAATATATGTATATGGAAAAGAGTGCATAATGCAAATACGAAGCAAGTAACCCAAATGCTTCCTAAAGCAGACAAATACTGTCTGTTCTGGTGTTCATGCATTATTTTTCAAAGAAGCCAGCCTGTTTTCTTGTATAGAAGGCCATTGCTAGCTGATGACAGCCTATCCTTTCTCTTTTCATCCTTTTAATTTGTCTGTGCAAGTGAACTATGTCCTTCAGTTATACCTGCTGAGCAGGATAGGATTACTACCAAAACTGTCCTGAACTGGTAACACCCAGTGTTGTGAATTTACAGCAGCACAGATGTGCCATTGCACTAGTATTACCTATACTGGCAGGCTACCTCCTGTGAAAGAGGGACACATGGGTGACATTGGAAGCATAGTGCAAGAAAATCAGCATCAGCATCATCACCACCATCATATAATCTGAATATTATACCAGTGTATACCAACAGCATAGTGATACATGTGAAAACACAAAACCATCCTGTTTAAATCAAATAGAAAGCCCAAGGTACCATCCCTCCTAAAGAATTTTAATAAATCCAGTAACCAGTCATGGCATGAAAGTGCAATGAGAGGAAAGACTTTAGTGCACCATTTACCAGTGACGCAGTAGTACAGTTCAGCCTGCTCAGCTGCAATCTTGTGCTCATTCACTGGAAAGCATGTATGTTCCAGTAAGTTTAATGAAACTTGCTTACAGATAAACATTCTAGACTTGTACTGGAAGAGTTCAGTCCTCTGTACACTTACTTGGATTTGCTAAGTCTTGCTTCTGAGTAAACATGCAAAAGAATCACACAGAGATTTTTACTACTCCCTAATTATTACAACAGCAAGTGATCAATGTATTGAATTTTAAATAAATATATTTATATCTGCAAAATAACAATTCTCTGAGTAGCTTATACTTTAAAAAAACTAAATTGCAGTACAAACATTTAAAATGAAAAATACAATGAAAGTGTGTATTGAAAAGAATATAATACAACATGTAGAAGAATAAAGATATATAGGAGCAGCCATCAAAATTTAGAACTAGGTATTTAACATGCCAGAGAGAAAACAAAGATCTTTGGCTAGACCCAAAAAGATAACGAGACACTTTCTGCAAAGCATTCTGCAAGAAAGGTGCCACAACTGAGAAGACCTTTTCTCTTGTAGCTTCATTTACCTCAGCAAGCTGAAATTGACAAATCAACCCTCCTAGACTGAACAAACTCTTCAGCTCTCACAATACCACCTCAAGCACAGATGCAGTTCAGCCATCACATCACACACTGGCAGTGATCAGCCTTCATTGACAGACATATGGCATATTGAGCGGTTTCCTTCCCTGGGTGAAGCAAACCATGATATCCCATCCCTGTGCAGTGCAGGATCGGACTCAAACCTGAAAGGGCCCTGGGCAAATGCTTTCCGCTAGACTCCCTCCAATGTCAGTGGGCTCCTCTGGAATTACTTGGCCACCTAGGCACTCTGGAGGCAGTGAGGAGCCATCATGGTAATTTCCTACAATGTCCTGAGTTAGATAACAGGGCCCACCAGCCCTGGTGCCTGAACTGGGCTTCCTCCATGACAGCCTGCTGAGTCTGTGGTGGCCATTTTGATTCCCCATTATGGCCTAGAAGCTGATACCAGGCCTGTTGCAGTAGACTGGGGCAATGGGGTGGGTGGATTTTGTGCCTGTTTCTAGACAGACAGACAGACAGACAGACAGATGATAGCAGGTCTCTGGTCTGTCGAGAAGCATCATGTTCCTTTTTTCCTAATGTCTGATATGGATTAGCAGGGGTGTGTCTATAATCATCCTATAGAGAAGGAGATGCCCTGTGCTTCTGAAGACTCCCATTATCTTTATTCATGCTAGCAAGGTGGCTTGGCAACCTGGCTCCATTTCAGCAGTGCTGCTTGGCATTCATGTCAGAGGAGATGCTTTTCCATTAGCAAGTAAATGGCTGCCATATATGCATGGCCCTTGCCCACAACTTGATTACTGTACTGCTGGTTGGCAGCAGTGTGTGGGCTGATTCTACGGTTAACCCCTCAGCTAGAAAGGATCTTGGAGGTTTTGGCTCTGATTGAGAAATCTTTTCTCCGGAAATCAAATCTGCATCACTTTCACGCTTGCACGCATCAAGGAATCGCAGGATGCATGCATGTGTGAACGCGTTGCACTTCTGCGAGCCGGGGAAATGTGAAGCGGAGGCATTGCCTTGACGCGTTGCGTCCCATGTCCCGCTGTTCCGATGCCACCCTTCTGTCCTAGAGTGCGCAAAGGCAACAGGGAAGTTGCCTTCCCTGCCTGCCGAAGGCAAGCGACGCCAAGCGCCTCCGTTCCCGTCTCCGGCGCCACTTGACCCCTAAGGCTGGCCTAGCGGCTCGGACCGCCTTCCGTCTTTCTCGCCTCGGCATTGGCGGCTGGGCATCCCTCCCGAGATGGGAGCCGGCGGTTGGCTGGCGGCGATGTCACTAATCGGGATTGACCTTCCTTTTCCCCGTCGCTGTCAAAGTTGATCACCGGGCGCCGCACTGCAATGGAGAGAAGGGGAGAGGAGCAACTGCACCCGCCGCGGGGGAAGCAGCCGCAGCAGCAGGAGCAGGAGGAAGAGGAAGGAAAAGGGGGGGACTGAGAGCTGCTCTGACCCGGCTGGTGAAAATCCCAGGTCTTTCCCTCGCCGTGTCTGCGTGTGCGAAACAAATAAACGTAGCCCAGAAATGCTCCCGCGGCTGGGCTGCTGATAGGATCGTCGGCCGCCGCCGCCCCCCCGCCGCCCCGGCTCCCGGGCAGAGTAGGCGGCAGAGCTGGGAGGGAGTGGATGCCCTCGTTGTGTCTCTCCGCCTCTCGGATCCTGCAAAGCCAAGAGAAATGAGAAGCTGATCTGTCTCCCTCCCTCCCTCCTTCCTCTCCTCCTCCTCCTCCTCCAACTCTCTCGCCGCAGCTCCCTCTTCACGATCCCAAGAGCCCCTGCAGAGCTTTCGCTGCTCTCTCTCCCGCTCCCCGCGTGTTAGCCTCCCCCGCCCCCTAGTCCTGGCCTCTTCCCGGTCCTTCAACCATGCCTATTTCGGTTTTCACCTTATAAAGATGGCGGTGTGGGATCACTGCAACCTTTAGACTCATGACTGTCAGAAATATCGCCTCCATTTGTAATATGGTGAGTACTTCTGGCCTGTCTGACCTGTTTGGGGAGGGGGCTTCAAGCGGGGATTCCGCAGGCAGGGGGCGGGGCGGGGTGGGATGGGAGAAGGGAAGAGAGGCCCTAACCTTCGCCCGTCCCACTAATCCCCCCCCACCACGGTGTGGGAAAACTAGACTAGGGCAATGGCAAATGTGGCAAACAACAGGGCTCCTACCCTTCAGAATAAGATCTCCTGAAAGCTGTCCTCGGTTTCCAGAGACCTGTGCACGCTTATCAGAGAGTAAGGCTCGTTTAGTGTAGAGACCTTACTTCTGAGTAGTTACGCCTATGATAGGGCTGCAGGGGAAGCAATTGGGAGGTCTGGGAAAGCAGGCATATTGGATCCATTTGGCAGAAATATCGGGGTCGTTTGAAGTTTGTACAGAAGAATGTTGACATTGTGGTGTTATGCATGATGAACCTGAGATCCGGAAAAATGAGTTTTGGATACTGGGGTGAGGGGTGAGATTTTTAATCTGCAAGAGTGTCAGGCAGGTTCAAAGGTAAACATTGATTTCAAAGTGGGAAGAGATACTCCTTTTGAGGATGCATCTACTGAAAAAGTAGCTGGTGCAAATAATACTTCTTTAAGCTTCTATGGATGGGTAAAAAAAGATATGGCATTCAACCTACCTAATTAGTAAATAATTTCCAGGATCTCAAGATAGGACTTTCACTAGGTTTGTTCTTTTGGAGATGTCTACCAAGATTATAAAGTATGAAGTTTGGTTTTAAACTTCTTGCTCCAAAGGGTCAGGAGTTTTGTAAAACAATCTCCCCCTCCTTGGTTATGTTGGACTGGCTAATTGGCACCTAAGTTTTCAAAAGCCTGATGTGTTAAGAGTGGAGAAAGGGAATAGTGTCTCGAAGGAAGTAAGGCCAAGAGTGGAAAAGGTTGTCATTCTTCAATAAAGTGCAAAGATTTGCATGGGTTGGAGAAATCTTGAAGAGGACCACTAAGCAGGAAAAGGTCACAGGATCACATGTGGACTTTGCTGCATCTGTGTGCATCTGTCAGGAGCAGGTTGCGTGAATCTTTCTGCTCTGTGATGGCACCATCCAAATCTTTTAGACTACAACTGCCACCAGCTCCAGCTGTCATGGCCAGTATTTGGGATTGCAGCCTGAAACATCTGGAAGGCACCATGGTGGGGGCGGGGGGGGGGGGGATATGCACTATCTGACTTGCTCTGACAGTATGTTAGCATTTAGGATGTATCAGCAGCTACAAGAGCACAGTAACAGAAAAGATGGTGGTGGACAAACTCTGGTTAGCACCACCTGCATTTGTACAAATAACCTGGAGGTATAAGGCTATAATCCTCCTTATGCTATTTGATCCACTGTTGGTTTGACTGAAGTCAAAAGACATTTCAATAGTGTAAACACTTTGAAGATTTTTACAGCTTCATACTAAGGGCATAATCTTGTGGAAGTTTACATAGAAAAAAGGCCTACAGACTCCCAGCATGCCCCAGCCAACTATGCTAGGTGATCTAGACCCTTTTTTCTGTTTAAATTTGCAATGAATTGTGCCTTTTGTTTATTTGATTAAGGTTGGGGGAAGGTGGCATATTTGAATACCTGATTATGGTATTCTGCTTCAGGTGACCCACTTCTGAAAATGTAGGCTTTGAAATGGTCTCTGTTAAATTTCCTATGTGTGTTACACTTAAATTTTATTGCTATTATTCTTAATGTAATAGCTGTTATATATTTTATTTCTACAACAGAGATTGCACATGCTGTTAAGTAGTGACTGCTCATTTTCCTTAACTGTGGAAACCATTCCAGATGCACTAGTAGGACAGGTTTTGGGCCTCCAACCCTGAATTTATATAGCAACACACACACACACACACCCCTGCATGCCCACAGACATAAACAGTGCTTCCAGATGAGGTTTTATTGAAACATCAGCCTGCCTCCTTCATGGGATTTTACAGTGGGATGGATATGTGTCTAGATGTCGTCTTCTACTTGTAAACCACCTGTTTCCTTATCTCTCCTTCTGTCTTTTTCTTACTGCAGAAGAACTATTAATGAGAATTAATACAAAAAACAAAAACAGGATAGCTGTGCCATACCTGGTAGTGCCAGAAGTCCTCTGTCTGGAAGCAGCTACAGATGCTGTGAATCAGTTCACTACAATCAGTGGCTACTAGTTCTGATAACTATAAGTTATACCTTTCTATACTATTTACTGGGGAACATGAGCAGGAGGGTGAGATCACAGCCATGTCCTAACTTGTGGGTTTTCCATGCGCAGGGACAGCTGGTTGTTTGCTATGTGAAAAGTATGTGCGTTAGATGGACCTTTGGTCTGATCCAGCAGGCCTCTTCTTTTCTTCGTACATGTGACATTCAACTACATGTGTGAATGAGGAGTAGATTTGCATATAGTGAAAAATGTGTTCTGGGAAATATAATGACAATTATTCTTATTTGTTCAAAACTCGCATGCTCAGTAAGCCTTAGAACACCATGAATCATCTGAGGCTTGTGGCACCAGGTTGCATCCAATCCTGCCAGTGGGTAACAGAACTGCTTTCCTTCCCTCTCTGCTGCCCTCCTCCCCCAGATCCACTTTAGATTGAGGGACTCTACAGAGCAAATGAGGAGGGCATGCAACAGGCCTCTCATGAAAAGTTGAATTTAAGCCTAGGGCTGCAATGTCTTCAGTTGGCAGGTACATACACTGATAAAAGCACATGTATGTGTGGGGAATGTAAACACTGTTGTAAAATAGCAATGAAATAAAGAAATACAATCTTGTATGACAATCTCATATGAAACTGAAGATATGCAACTGGCCATTTGCTATTGCAGTACTCATGATAACAAGTCACTTCATTAGATTTATTAACACCTATAAGTGGGATAGCATGGATATAACCTAAATGACTCAGTAAGCTTTTCAGCTGTCTTGTCCAAGCTGAGATAATGAAATGGTAATCAAATAAAAGCTCATGAAGGCTAATCAAATAAAAGCCCATTAATGCCTTTCATCTTTAAGGCAACTTTCTCCAGCCTGGTGCCTCCAGATGCATTGGGCACAATTCTATAATCCCAGGTTGCGGAATGCTGCTTTATGATCACACAAACTTCCTTGCTGGGTTTGTTGTGATAGGCGTAACAGGGCTACATCTCTGGAAGTTGCAGCAACCTTGCAACTGAGGCTGTGGCAGTGATCTTCATATGACCAATGGGAATGGAGGCCAAAAGGCCTAAAGCCACCCAGAAAAGGATCCTCATGAGGGGGAACACATTCTTTGAACTAAGGCATCACACCAGCTTGCCAACACTCACCACTGGACAGATCAGTGATGTATTTTTAGTGTTTGATAGGCAATTGTCTGCATCTATATAACTTCACAGATAGCCAGCTTGTTGGCCAGAGGTCTTTACATGTTTCCACTTGGTAGTTCAGTTTAGAAGGGTAAGGATAGGGTTGCAGACAGAATGAGCCAAGAAGCAAACAGGGGAAGGAAGGAAATGCAAGTAGGATTTAAGGAGTCAGTGTTACTCTGAAGGTGGGCCAGGTAGAATAAACATCTGAGCTAGATAATGCCTGACTGCTGTTCCAAACCTTTTCTGTTTGACAGCAGTTGCTAAAATCTCCCTGCAGACAGGGAATTGATGAGCATTTTAGACCAAACCAGGAGGAAAATAGTAGGGTTGTTTTTTTCATTTTTCGTTTTGTTTTTTTTTAAGCAATTGGAAGTAGTTTGTGGAAACATTGGTTGAAACTTTAATGTGAAGGTGTTTTCAATGTACAGATAGATCTCCTTCACCCTCCCTTGGCCCTTTAAAAATAGAGTGAGGGAGTATAAACATAATATTTTATTGCACATCTGTGGTGGAGATTTACTGCTTTCTGTCTTGCTGTTAAGACAAATTTCATACTCTGCTTTTTGTGAGCAAAGCTTTATTTTGACATTTTCCTTGGAAATGATTGGCTATCCTGCTACTGAAGCATTTAAGAGCTCTGTTCTATTCTGTTCAGCAAGTAATTTTTTTAACAGAAGCCATATTTTCAGTTGAGCCCAGCTGGGTAGCAGCTGAAGAGACAAAAACCTTGGCTCTGTTCATTGTTGCACAGGAGCAAAGGGACTCTTTAGGCTGATAGTGTTGAACTTTATATTCTTGTAGGTGAAGCTTAAGGCAAAATGGGAAAGCCAAACAGGCCAACATATTGTAATTTAAAGCTCTTCCTACTCATAATTAAGGCTTAGGAGAGGCATTTCAGCATTTGAGAATGGGAAAAGGAACTGCACAGAGCTTGAAAACAACAAAATGCCCAGTGGTTGCAGGAAAGGGGTGGAGCTAGAGGAAAAGAATATGGCCAGAAGATTGGATTTTTGGCTTTGAGCCCCTGGTTTTGCACTCCTGCTTTAGCCCAAACTTGCCCAATCCACTGCCATTAGCTATACTGGTTGGGAATGATGGGAACTGTGACCCAAAACTTCTGGAGTTCACCAGATGAGAAAGGCTATGTGAGCCTAAATCTTCTGGCGTGAACAACAGCAGAACTTTTGCCTTTATCCACCTGAGGCTCTCCATCGATGCCCCACATCTTCCTTTGGAAATGGGAGGGAGTAGCCAAGGTGCATAATGAGGGAAGTTCTGCCAAACCCTCTCATGTTGCCTGCACTGCAGGAGAGGGGAGCCCTTTTCCTGCTGTGTTCCAGCTTGGGAAAAATGCTGGGATACATGATGGACACATCTGTGTGCATGACTGTTCCTCTGCAGTTGGTGAGGTTGCTGGGAAAATACTAGAAGCCAGAGCTAGACTTTCAGTGACCTATGCCCAGTTTAGGGTTTCTCTAGAGTCTTCAATCAAAACATTTTTGACACTGTTGGACCAAATCTTCCTGTGAAATCCAGCTGTTTAATAAGTGGAAACACGCATTTTAATATCCAAAGTTGCCCCTTGGAGTTCTTGGTTGTTTTACTTTACATGTGCACCCTTAATC